TCTCCTCTTGGGATCTTGGGCACGCATGCACATGCGCTCAGTGTGAGTTTAAGCCACCGGGTCTGGGACTCAAACCACGGTCGACTACATAGGAGTCCAGTGACATAGCCTTTACGCTAACTGCTGGTCCCAGAGACTCTTCTTATATTAAACCTGTTGATGTTCTTTGATTTCCTGCATCTGGATGTCTGTATTACTCCTTAGATTTGGGAAATTTTTAACTAGTCTTTTGTGAAATAGACCTTCTATGCCGTTTTCCTCATCTCTTTACCTTTTTCTTTTTTTTAAAGTTTATGTGTATGTATGTGTATGTAGTACTTTTTTAAGTTTTCTTTTTAAATTTACTCTAGGGCACATGTGCTTGCCAGAGACAGAGAGAGAAAGAGAGAAAAAGTGAGAAATCACTCCCTGGGGGGGTGACCACACTGTAATTCCTTCCTCTCCATTCTCCTCTCAGAATTTTGGGCATGCATGCACACTGCCTGGCCCTTCAAGCTTCCAGGTCTGCGCTTCAAACCACGCCGTTGGCCATGTGAGATCCAGCTGCCTTAACCACCATGTCATGTGGTTGGCCCTCTCTTCACCTTTTGAGATGCCCACTATGTGCGTATTTAGTTGCTGAATGGTGTCTCAGATTCCCATATATTCTCATTTATTTTTAATTATTATTATTATTTTTTAGTTTTGTCAGAGGGTGCATGCACTCACACCTTATATAGACAGAGTGAGATAGAGAGAGAAAACGAGAAATCACCCTCCATGGCGATGGTCACACCATAATCCCTTCTCTTCCATTTCTCCCTCCTTTCAGGATTTTAGGCACACACATGTCCAGAGTGCTTTTCAAGCTGCGGGGTCAGGCACTCATACTGCAGTCGGCTATGTAGCATCCAGTCACCTTAACCATCATGAGACTAGGTGGCCCCTATTCTCTTCATTTTTTTTTTTTTAGAGAGATTTTTGCTATGGGGCATGTGCACTCGCTAGAAAGACAGAGACAGAAAGTGAGAAGTCACCCCCTAGGGGGGATGGCCATGCTACAGTCCCTTCTCCTCCACTCTCCTCTGAGATTTGGGCATGCATACACATGTGAGTTTTAAGCCGCCAGGTCCAGGACTTGAACCATGGACAACTATGCGGGAGTACAGAGACGTAACCATTACGCCATTTACTGGTCCCCATTCTCTTCATTTTTAATGTTTTTCTTTTTCCTGTCTTTTTGATGGCTTGGGCCATTTTAAAGGTTGTTTCTTCAACTTTCGAGATTCTTCTGCATGGTCAAACCTGATACTTTCTATAGCATTTTTTAATTTCCTGTATCGTATTCTTTATCTCCAGGATTTCTGTTTGATTCTTTTTAAAGATACCTGTCTCTTTACTGAATTCCTCATACATGTTGTGGAATATTTTTCTCATCTCCTGTAGTTGTTGGTGTTCTCATTCCTCTCGCTGAGTTTTATTTTGGTCAATATTCTGAAATCCCTTTCCAAGATTTCCAACATTTTATCCATTGTTGGGGGGAGTTTGTGAATTCCTTTGGAGGAGAAGTGTTTCCTTGTACTCTCATATTTCTTGTGCCACTGCACTGATATTTTAGACAACTAGTAGAGAACTCACCTCTTCCTCTAAAGGGGAATGGATTCCCTTAGAGAAAATGCCAATAATTGGTGCCTTCTTGGAGTGGTTGCCTGAATACTCAGACCCTATGTAGAGTGGGAGGAATTTTCTTTTAGATAAGGTGGATGAGTGGAGATATCAGCTGAAAGTAGGTTATATATGTATGTGTGTGTGTGTGTGTGTGTGTGTATGTGTGTGTGTGTGTGTATAAAATTTATTTATTGATTTTTTTAGATTTATTATCTTAGGGCATGTGTGCTCACCCTAGGGAGAGAGAGACAGACAGATAGTGAGAGGGAAAGGGAGAAATCACCCACTGGGGGATGGCCACATTGCAATCCTTTCTTCTCCATTCTCCTCCCGGGATCTTGGGCATGCATGCACATGTGCCCAGCATGTTTTAACGCACAAGGTCTGGGACACAAACTGCAGTTGGCCATGTGGGAGTCCAGTGACATAATCACTATGCCATCTGTTGGCCCCCAGTAGGTAATGTCTTTTGTCTTGAATGAATTCCACACAACAGGGACTCAGGAATGACCAGTTGTTTAGTTTGCCTTACATGTGCACTCCCTGGAGATGGAGGAAGCTGACTGCCTCACTGCCTGATTCCTTCCCCTGGTGCAGCACCTTCCTGCAGGTGTTCTGTTGTGGAAGTGAGGGGCAAGGCTGTTGTTGGTGGGGATTAAGGGCTCTGTGCTGGCCTCTGTAGTGTTAGCAAGTGGGCAAGGTCCTTCGTGTATCTCCATGGTGCAGGCAGGTGGGTGGGACTCTCAGCAAGCCTCTGTTGCAGGCAGGTAGAGAGACTCCATGTCATAAGCGTGATGTGGGGTTTCTGGGTGGGCTTCCATGGCACTAGTGCAGCTTGGTGGGGGCCTGGGGATCCTCTGGGTGGGCCTCTGGGACACTAGTAAAGTCATGGAGTACCTCTGGGGAGGCCTCCACAGTGCTAGAGGAGCCAGCAGGGATGTTGGGGTGCTAGTGGGTATACAAGGGTGCTCTGGGTGGGCTTCTGGGGCACTAGTAGGGGCTGGCCAGGCCACAAAGGTCCTTCAGAAAGGTTTCCATGGTGCTAATGGAGGCTGACATAGTGTCAAGTCATCCGAGTAGGTCTCCAGTGCACTGGAGGGGGGTTTGGGGCTGTTCTGGGCAGGCCAGTAGGGGAATGGGGGGACTCTGGGTTGGCCTCAGGACTGACATCTATTTCACGATAACATTATATGTGGTGTGAGGTAAGTGACAAGGTTTATTTTTCTTCCACATGAATATCCAATTATTTTAACTCCATTTGTCAAAGATAGTTCTCCCCTTGTGTTTTGGTATTTTTGTTAAAAAATGGTTGATCAGGGCTGGCAGATGACATGGTAGTTGAGGTGCTGGACTCCCACATGACTGACCATGGTTTGAGGCCTGGACCTGGAGACTTGCTTTCTCATTTTCCATCTCTCTCTGGCCAAATTGAAGAATGTTAATAATAAATAAAATTGAATGATTCTTTAAAAAAATAAGAAAAAAGGGAACCAGCAGTTAGCGTAGTGGCTATGTCGCTGGACTCCCATGTAGTAGACCGCGGTTCGCGTCCCGGACCTGGAGGCTTAAAACTCACGCTGGCACGTGTGCATGCGTGCCCAAGATCCCGAGAGGAGAATGGAGGAGAGGGAATTGCGGCGTGACCATCCCCCCTGGGGGGTGATTTCTTGCTTTCTGTCTCTCTGTCTTTCTCCGTCTGTCTGGCGAGCGCACGCACCCTATAGTGAAAATCTCTCCAAAAAAAAAAAAAAGAAAAATGATGCTTGATCATATATGTGTGGGTGTCATTTCTGAATTTTCTGTTGTATCCCATTTAATTTATATATCTATCCTTATTCCACTGCATACCGTCTTGATCACTATTTCTTTTTTATAATTAAAATTAATTTAATTTAATTTATTATTATCATTTTAAAAATTTTGACCAGAGAGAGACAGAAAAGGAAAGTGAGAAAGCAAATTGCCAAGTCTAGGACTCAAGCTGTGGTTGGTCATGAGGGAATCCAATGCCTTAACCACCATGCCATCTGCCAACCCCAATTATTATTTTTTTATGGCAAAGAACAATGTGGGGTTTTTGGATATATCCTTATGATGTGTCTCTCCATTTATTAATGTCCTTTACTTCTTTCAGTAATTAATGTTTTATAACTCCTATAGCACAGAGGTATTTTTGGTTTTTAAACATTTATTTATTGGAGAACCAGCAGTTAGCGTAATGGCTATGTCGCTGGACTCCCATGTAGTTGACTGCGGTTCGTGTCCTGGACCCGGTGGCTTAAACTCACGCCCGGTGCGTGTGCGTGCGTGCCCAGGATCCTGAGAGGAGAATGGAGGAGAAGGGGGCGTGATTTCTCGCTTTCTGTTGCTCTCTGTCTGGCTGGTGAGCGCACGCGCCCTATAGCAAAAACCTCTCCAGAAAAAAAAAAATCAAAAACATTTATTTATTTATCTCTTTAATTATTGTGATTTTTCCAGGCCACTGGGCCTGGGACTTGAACCTCAGTTAGCCACGTGGGAGTCCAGTGCTTCAACTACCATGCCATCTGCCAACCGCTGTAACACAGGTTTTACATTTACTTCATTAATCCCACACCAAAATGTTTTATGCTTTTGTTTTTCATTGCTAATCCATTTTCCACTTCATTAATGGCATACTTTTTTTTTTTTTTTTAGTTTGCTGTAGGGCACAGGGTTGGCTGGGAATGAGAAATGAGCTCCCATGGGAGATGGCCACACTACAGTCCTTTCTCCTCCATTTTCCTTTTGGGGTTTTGGGCATGCATGTACACACGCCAGGCATGTTTTTCAAGCCACTGGGTCTGGGACTTGAAACAGCATAGTCATATGGGATCCAGCCACTTGAACACCTCACCCCAGCTGTCCCAGTCCCACATAATGTTTAGTAGAAGCAGTGAGACAAGCATCATTGCCTTGTTTTTTATTTTAAATGGATTGGTTCTACTGTTTTACCATCCAGTGTGATGTTTGTGGTGGTTTTTTTTTGGAGAGATTTTCACTGTAGGGCGCGTGCGCTCGCCAGACAGAGAGAGACATAAAGACAGAAAGCGAGAAATCGCCCCCCAGGGGGGATGGTCACGCCGCAATCCCTTCTCCTCCATTCTCCTCTTGGGATCTTGGGCACGCACGCACACGCGCCCGGCGTGAGTTTTAAGCCACCGGGTCCGGGACACGAACCGCGGTCGACCACGTGGGAGTCCAGCGACATAGCCATTACGCTAACTGCTGGTTCCCGGTTTTTGTTTGTTTTTGTAAGTGAACTTTATCATACTTAGGAAAACTTTTATTCCCCTTTTGTAAAAAGTTTTGAAAAATCACCTATAAGGGGCCTATTTTTCTTGCCCGCTCCACTGTCCAGAGTCTCTGAAGCTCAAACCTCTTTCGGGTTGTCTCTCCTACTTAGGATATGTGACTTCCTCTGCCTGGACCCATGACATTGTCCTCTACTTTACCTGTTCCAATAATGTGTTGTGATCGATTATCTGGTGATCACCCCGTCTTACTCTCTCTGTCCCTGTGGGTTATACTTCTACTTCAAAAATTTTTTTGTTTAAATTTTTTGGAGAGAGTTTTGCTATAGAGTGTGTGTGCTAGCTGGAGAGACAGAGAGCGACAGAAAGCTAGAAATCACCCCCCAGCAGGGATGGCCATGACCACAATCCCTTCTCTTCTATTCTCCTCTTGGGATTTTGGGCATGCATGCACACACACCTAGTGTGAGTTTCAAGTCACTGGGTCTGGGACTCAAACCATGGTTGACCATGTGGGAGTCCAGTGCCTTAACCACTATGCCACCTGCTGGCCCCACTTTTTACTTCCTTTACTGCCCTTTTCCTGGTGATTTTGGGAAAGAAAAGGGGAAAACATACATTTATCTTTTGCATTTTCTCCCACTTCAAAGTATTCACTTAGAGGTGAAATGTTTGCAAGTGTGTGCTGTCACCATGGGCTGATCAGCTTGCCTTATTCTTCCTGACCTCCTCTGCAGATTTCTCTTAGTTTGGTGTTTTCCCAGCAGTCTTGGGTCTTGTTCTATTTTTTTTCCCCCAGGCAGCTAGACCAATGTGGTTTAGTTCCTGGCATGACTTATTTATTTATTTTACATTCAGTCACCATGTATCACTGCAGCACACCAAATGAATTTTCCCATCCTGAATACACTCTGTATTGGTTCAATCAAAGATATTACCATATATATTATCATTAACAGATAATTTTCCACTTTATGTCCCTTAAATGTTTTGCTTCTTTCTTTCTTAAAATTTTTATTTTATTTGTTATGATTATTATTTTTAATTTGATATAGTCATCAGAGAGGAAGGGGGAAAGTGAGAAAGTGAGCTGCCAGGTTTAGGACTCGAACTGTGGTCAGCCACAATGCTCTAACCACCACACCACCTACTGGCCCCTTGCCTCTTTTTCCCCTTGATTCCCTTTCTCTCTTCCTCTGCCATTTCCCACCCTCCTCCCACATCGTTTCTAGTATCCACAATTGCTCTCCATGCCTTTATACCGTGCTGTCTTTCCATTTCTGCCATAGAGTGCAGACATTTGGTGTATATTGATTGGGGGGACATACAATGACTCTCTTTCATAGTCTGGCTTGCTTCACTTAGCAGTAGCTCTTCCGTATTTGTCCACTTTTATCAAATGCTAGGATCTCATTGTCTTTTTATGGCTGAGTCGTATCCCATAGTGTGTATGTGCCTCACATTTTTAGTCCATTCGTCTCTTCATGGACATTTGGGTTGGTCTCTCCATGACTTACCGAGATTAATCCTAGACTTCTCTCTTTATAACAAAAAAATTCTTGAATTGATTCCATGGCCTGGTGGTTAAGGCAGCCAGATCCCACATAGCCTACCACTCAGTTCCAGTCTGGGACCTGGCAGCTTGAGGAACATGCGCACATCCCAAAGGGTGGGAGAGATGGAGGAGAAGGGACTGAGCTGAGACCATTCCCCATGGGAGGTGCTTTCTCCTTTCCCTTTCTCTGCCTTTTTTTGAGAGGACATGTAGGAAGAAAGTTTTTTTTTTTTTTTTTATTCATGATAGAGCACACATGTAGGCATGTGTGAGAGAGACTGAAAGAAAAAGAGAGAGAGAGTAACACCACGTACAAAGTCTAGTCACACCTACTGTTCCCGTGAGTACCGGGGATCTGGATCCACGTGTGTTTCAGGCTGACTGGGATAGGGATTCAAACCTTGGTCACTACGTGGGAACCACTTTCTTGAAAAAATCTAGGACAGGCGAACCCCTCCTGGCTTGAGTATGGGAGATGCCCCTCTGGCTGTGCTAGCCCTGTGTGTTTGGATGATTACTCCCATCTCTCAAGGTGTCTGGGGGGCTAAGATTTGGCAGATTACGTGTTCGCTGTGGATCTTGGTACACAGAAGTGCCCAGACATCCCCCTGCTGGCCCATCAACTGAATGCAGTGGAAGAACAATATCCGCTGACACTGAAACCCATCTGTAGTGGGAAGGCACACAATGGTCTCCACCAGGCCACCCCTCCACGCCTTGAAGGCCAATCTCTATCCCAAGAAGCAAGCACTCGTCCATAAGTTGCAAGGGTTTTATTGCTGGAATCCTGTAGTTAGACACCTGGACATACCAGGTTGCTTAGTGATCAGGTAAGCGGCTCCTTTGGGTCTCTGGCCAGAATGGTTTCCTTAACACTTAGGGCTTGAGTATATTTTATTCTGCAAAGAGAAGAACAGGAAACCTGATGAGGCTGTGGTGATAAGAGACATCTGAACACTCATAAGACAGTTCCTGGGGGAGCCGGCAGGTGGTGTGGTGGTTAAGGGCGCTGGACTCCCACATGGCCGACCACGGTTCAAGTCCCGAACCTGGCAGCTTGCTGTCTCACTCTCCCTTTCTCTCTCTCTGGTCAAATTTAAATAATAATAATAATAAAATACAGTTAAATTAAGTAATTCTTTTCTTTCTTTCTTTCTTTTTTTTTTAAAAGACACTTCCTAGGACCCTGATTTATGCAGCCATCAGAAGTGGTTACCCCCTTACAGCGCCCTCCAGGAGTTTGCCCATGGTGTGGGCAAACAGCCCCTGTTTAAGCGGCTCGAGTTGACTGAGGACATGGCAGACATGCAGTCCATCATTGGCCTGCAGTGCTTCTTGAGAGGTTTTCACGATAGGGCGCGTGCGCTCGCCAGACAGACAGAGACATAGAGACAGAAAGCGAGAAATCACCCCCCAGGGGGGATGGTCACACCACAATCCCTTCTCCTCCATTCTCCTCTCGGGATCTTGGGCACGCACGCACTCCCACGCGCCCAGCGTGAGTTTGAAGCCACTGGGTCCGGGACGTGAACCGCAGTCGACTACGTGGGAGTCCAGCAACATAACCATTACGCCAACTGCTGGTTCCCTGCAGTGCTTCTTCAAGGTGCACATGAATGAGACTGTTGGTGACACCAAGTTCTCTGCTATGCTGGTGGAGTACTCTCCACTGGGTCTCCCGGGTGCTGGTCTGAGTGCCCAGGAACTGTCTGGTGGCCCTCGTGGTAGCCCATAAGGCTGGGGTCCCCATGGCCAGCCCAACCTGGACCCGTTCTGACTTATTAACCCAGCCCTGCTTCCTTAGAGGCCTGATTTCCCACTCGTTGGTGGCCCCATGCCCTAGTCCTTCATAATACAGTTTTTACTTCTGTAGATTTAATGAAAAACTTCACTAGTTTTTTTTAAATTTTAAATAGGTGCTTTCTAGGGAGAGGCCTGGAGCCTTGTTTGGAGTATGGTTCTGGATTTGAAAAGGTAAAGGTGACAATGCATCACTTGTCACCTCCTGCTGGCATGGAGGTTGAGGTGGCTGGATTCCCACATGGCCAAGTCTGCAGTTCAAGTCCTGGACCCAGTAGCTTGAAAATCACACTAGACATTTATGCATATATGCTCAGAATCCTGAGAGGAGACTGGAGGAGAAGGGACTGCCGTGCTCCCTGGGGGTGATTTCTCACCCCCCACCTCTCTCTTTGGTGAGCACACGTGCCCTATAGCAGGTAATGGTGCCTCACAATCTCATGCATCACAGGTATCCCCAGGTATAACTGAGAAGCTCTTGTAAAACTCCTTCCCATAGAACAAAACAAGGAGTAGGGGTTGCCCTGGTGGGATGGGCATGGGGCCACAGTCTGAGACAGAATGAGAAGCAGCTGCTGAGAAGGGCCTGGACAGGCTTTGGGCACCTGGGAGCCTCAGAAATAAATGGATCTATGTCCGCCTCTCAGACACTTGCAGCCCAATGCATCTCAGCAGAGAAAGGGTTTATCTGCTTACTTGGGTTGTCCCAGGCCTGGAGAGTACTGGAGTGCTGGAGGTGGGGGTTGGAGCCTGTCTCTGTTGGCAAGTGAGCCACAGAATGGTCCTTGGGGACCCAGGGAACAAGTAGAAATGAAAGGTTTTGGGGAGGATGTAGTCGAGAACTTGAGGGATTAGGATGAAGGAACTGATGTTTAGAGGACCCAGTGTTAATGGCTGGAAGAAGATCCAGCTCATGTGCTGCACAGGCTGGAGTCAGAGCCAAAGCTGAGGTTCTACACAGAGGCCACATGGTGCCATGAGACAGAAGATCCTGGAGGTTCCTAGGCTGGCCTGGCAGGGTAAAACAGCCAGGGCCAGCCCAGGAGCTCAAGGGCTGGACTGAGGCTCCCTTCCTGGTCCTGCTCCATATTGTTGGTGTTGCCCCACCCTCTCTACCTCCTCATTCATCAGGTTCTTTTCCCTTCCAGACTCTCAGGGAAGAGCCCTGGTAGGGATGAAAATGAGTCCCTCCACCGTCTAGAAGTGCCCTGGAATGATCAGACCCCTCAGACAGGCACAAAGGCACAGACACACACAGCTAGACTCACCAATGCACTTTGTGCTAGCTGCTTATCCTCCTCGGTCAACTTCCCATCAACACATTCCTTCAGCTTTCGAGAGAGGGACAACATAATAGGATTTAAGTTATAGTTCTTCAAATTATTAATATATTCATCCGGTGATCCCATCAGGAACAGGTTAACGTCCTTAATCACAGGTGAGCACATCTTGTCACAATCTGGAACACCAAGAGAAGTTGACCTCCCCTGGAAGACGTTTGTCAGAACCCACTCATTCCCGACCTCTCCCAGCATGCTCAGCAATGTCCCGGGGTGGAGCTGGCAGGTGGTGTGGTAGTTAAGACCCTGGACTCCCACATGGCCCACCACAGTTCAAGTTCTGGACATGATGGGTTGCTGTCTCCCTTCCTACCGCCCCCCCCCCATCTCTGGTGAGCACACATGCCTGATAGCAAATTAAAGAATAATGATCCTAATTAATAGAATTAATTATTTTTATAAAATGCCCTGGGAAGGTGTCAGGACCCCTGGGGGAGCCCCATTCGCAGGCGTCCATGTCTCAGGCACCCACTTCCACTCGGGATCAGGACCAACACAGCAGCAGAGAGCAGCATGAGAAGACCCGCGGACGCCATGGTGCAGGTGGCAGGTGCTGCCTGATCACCTTGGGGCCCTTTTATGCCTGCTCCAGGTCCCACCGTGGCAGGGGAGGGGTTTGGACCTGAGGAATTCTTATCCTGGTGACCCCTCCAGGCCACAGTTTGAAATTGCTTAGGGCTGTGGAAGGAAGAGGCTTATGTGCTGGCAAGAAGATAAGTCCTTGAGTCAACAGAGGGCACTGGCTCATTCTTCTTCTTGAGGGTTCTGCCCAAGGGTCAGCTGACGTGAGAAGTTGAGGGATAGAACTAAAGAAAACCCTGACTGGGGAAAAAGGCCCCCAAATCAAGCCTGAAACATCCTGCGTGCTGTTTTATGTCAACCTGCCTGACCTGGATGTGATCTTGGAGAAGTCTGGCTGTGACCTTCCGGACTCTCTGAGCTTAGCTGAAGGTCTCACAGCCAGTGAGCTGCAGGTCTGAGCCCAAGCCCTTGACACCTGGTCAGGCCACCTGGTGACTCCTGCCCTGCCCTGCTTTCATCAGGATCTCTGACCTTTACCCTCTCGGTGGTCCCCCTTGAGTCTGCTTCCACAGCTCTGAGTTCTGTACTACACTCAGGGGCCCTGAAGTTCTAGAGTTCGGGCACCTGATTCCTCTGAGAGCACTTCAAGCTGAAATGGAATCTATCGCCCCCACCCCCTCCTGCTTCTCCTTTTGGGGTTCTCTGTATGGTTCACAACACTTTCTCTAGAGTTATAACCTGAGTCAAGGTCAGGCGCCCTTCCTGGCCCCTGTGCGATCTGCAGATGCCATTCCTTATGCTGCCGCCTCTCTGGGCTCAGTCCTGCAGCTCTCCTGTCCCCCACTGGCCTCTTTTCTGTTTCTGGACCATGTCAAGTTGCTCCTGAAGCAGGGCCTTTACGCACACTGCCCTTGCTGCCTGAAATGCTCTTCTTAAAATTAGATGCACAGGGGACCAGCAGTTCACATAATGGCTATGACGCTGGACTCCCATGTCGTCGACTATGGTTCGAGTCCCGGGCCTGGTGGCTTAAACTCATGCCCGGTGCGTGTGCGTGTGTGCCCAAGATTCCGAGAGGAGAATGGAAGAGAAGAGATTGTGGCGTGGCCATCCCCCCTGGGGGGGGTGATTTCTCACTTTCTGTCTCTCTGTCTCTCTCTGTCTTTCTGGTGAGCGTATGTGCCCTATAGCAAAAACCTCTTAAAAAAAACCCCGAACACCTAGCTGCACAATTCACCCTCTAATTCCCCTGCAAATGTCCCCAATTCTCTTCAAATATCACCTGGTCAGAGCCTCCCCCAAACTCTTTTTTTTTTTTTTTTTGGAAGATTACATCTGGGGTCTGGGTTTTTTTTTTTTTTTGCATGCTTTATTTATTTATTTATTTATTTATATTTTTACATTTCTCCAGATTTATTTTATTATTTTTT